CCCCAACTAGATCATCCCAGCCAGGGCTTTGTCTAGCCGAGTCTTGAATGTTCAAGTTCTTTGCTCTCTCATATTTTTTTTTTTGTGCAGAGGTCTGCCAGTTTTGATATACCCTGACTCCCCTTGGATGGGGCTCCTGATTGATTGCCCAGTGGCTCATGCAGTCAAGGGGATATTTGCCTGGTATGTTGAGGGTCCCAGTTGTCTCTTCAGAATCTCATTCTCTCTCTCTCTTCCCTCTGTCCCCACAACTTCCCAGCTGAATTTCCTGTGCCCAACTTGATCTCTGCTTCCTAGGGTGATACTGAAAGGCAATATTATAACTAAGGTGGGGTGATCAGGGCAGCAGCCCTTGATGCTGACTTAAGGGAGGGGAGGGGCAGTCACTGGGAGAAAAAATCCCAGCTCCCATTGCAGGTGCATGGCTATGCCAGCTCCTTGGTGGCAGCCGGACAGAAGTCATCACTGCCTCCATGTGTTGCCACTGCCCTGGGCACCTTGCTGCCTTGTTACACTTCTGCTAATACGGCTATCTAATTCTCCTTGCTCTGCGCCTTCTGAGGTTGTTGACATCAGTAAGCGTCAAGTGTTTCAGTGCTGACCTCTTAGGCTAGGGACAAAAGTCACATATAAACTGGTTTAAGTGATCAGAAACTGGCTTAAACCTATACCAGAACAAAAGTTCAGTGCACATAAATCGGCTCAAAATGGCCAAAACTGGTGTAAGATAAACCTGGTTGATCATAGTATCATACTTACATGCTTGAGGCCAAACTGGTTTATGGAACTCCTGTCCCAGACCTTAGTGTTTTGCACAGCTTTGAACTGGTGTGAAGGACTGCTTAAAGTTCAGGGCCATGGAAAATTAGACCTGTGAAAACTACTTGCAATATATTACTTTTAGAAGTCAGCTGGGAAACCCATTTCCTATTTAATGCCAGGCTCTGATAGCCCTGTGATCAGTTGTTCTTGGTACTAATCTGAAAACCTATGGCCACAAGCATTTCCAGTTTATTTACTCTCCCTCCATAAGGCTGTGTCTGATCCTATCAACCCTCCATGTATGCCACCCTGGACCCAGAGGAGTCCAGACTGAATCACAGCATTGTGTATAAAGGCCTGGTAGGATCATAGACAAAAAAGGTGTATCTTCTGTTACCACTGAGAGAGAGAGGGAGGCATGGGATTGGGAGGAACAGCTAATGAAGGCAAGTGGGGGACTCCCCTGGGTGAGAGGCAGACAAGTGGGTAGAGTGGGACAGCCGCACCACCCCCGCAAGAGGGAAGTACAGGCTTGGGAGGGCTGTAAGGTGGGGGGGGGGTAGGAATCACCTGGATGTGAAGCAGGGGTGTAGGAGTGGGTAATCATCAGAGGGAATTTGGGGGAGATTGTTTTCTTTTATGGAAGTAGTGAATGTGGGTTGGGGAACAAGATAGAGGTGGGTGGTGGTAGGGAAACACTTACCTAGGAGAAGCAGGAAGGGTGGGGTGAGGTTGATTGCTTTTGAATGTGGGGCAGGGGAGCTTGGCTTGTTATTTTTTCTTACTTTAATACTTTTTTTATAATTTAAAAAAATGTATTTTATTGTTAAGCTTCCCTAAGCCTTTTTGGGGAGGACAGCACACAAATCTGATAAAATACACCAGAGACAGAGCCAAACTTTTCTACAGGGCAAATATATTACAGTATTCTCATCATGAAACGGGCTGTGAGTTGATGTGCTAGGGTTAGATTCAGGTCATCCAAGGATAAGACTCTACCAGATTAGTGTCAAGCTTTTTTCCCATTTGCTTTCCCTTCTCCCTGCCTGTCTGTTTGCTTCTAGTATGCATTCCTGCTTGTCTCTTTGTTCATGACTCAGACATCCAGGTGACCTCTCCTGGATCATCATATTTAGCTACACATCCTGGCACCTTCCGTGCGTGGCTATGAGCTTTCTACATCCATGGCCTTCAAAGACAGCCAGGTGGCAGGCATCAAGGTAAAACTGAATAGAAACCTCTGCTCTGCTTTGGGGAGAAGGGTAAAGCCCAGCACAGCAGGAGTTTATGGGTCAGCAGTGGCATCTGGGCCAGGTCAGATTGTAGAAGGATCACGTGGTGGCTCAGACTGAGTCTGCTCTAAGAAGCAAAGGCAAAGACAGTGGGGGTTGGGAGGAGGGGGTGAGGTTGATACTTTAGAAAACACAGGAAAGAGGCAGTTGCCTACCAGATACTAAAGACAAAGGCATTTCCAGCCCTGCGGATGTGTTTCCTGGGCACTCAGGGCAGATGGGCAAGTCTCCAGGAGCAGGAATGATTTAGTTAAAAAGCAGTTTCATTAAGTTAAGAGGAGCGAGTTAAATTGTTTCCAGGGGCATTATGCATGTTGAAGCTAATTCTGTCTGACCATCTGGAAAAGAAGCCGGTAGCATCTCTGGTGTTATGGGTAACCCTCCACCCTTCCTCTGCTGGAGCCATAGGGAGCTGTAAATCAGGACAGACACGGCATAGCTCACATATACCAGGGAAGTGCCTAGCTGTGGGAACCAGGAGGGTTGGTAGCCTCCCTAAGATGAGAACATGTTTCCTAGGTGGACATTCATCCATGGTGGGGGGGATGTAGGTTCGATTTCTTCCTCTATAAGAGAAGTCTCAATCCTACATCTCTTCTTTTCATTGTGAATGGCCTGATGACCAGGCAACAGACTGTTCTAGGCCGGTGTGCAGTCTCTGCCCAGCCTGTACAGGCTGTGCCAACATGCAGAAAAGAATCTGAGATTTTGTGAGCCACAAACAGAAGGCAAGAATGAGCATGACTGTGTAGCTTAGGAGTTATGCAAGAGGCCTGGGTCTTGGTCCCTGCTCCACAAGCTGTTTCATGTAAAAGGGGCATTCACGGGGGAGGTGTAAGATGTGGGGTTGTATCCCCTTCAGGCTGAGGAGAGCACTGAGGCTGGGTCTCCCATTACCTGGTTGAGTGCCCTCATTGCTAGGATATCACTGAACAAGGGGAGCACCAGGGTTGCCAGCCACAAAAGAAGAGTGGCCACTGCTCCATTTTCAAAAGAAAGGGTGTAAGCAAGCACCTGTGTCAGGAGAGGATTCCAGGCTGCAGATCCTGAGCAGAGGAGGGCACTTGAATCTTGGAGAGGAGTGAGATTTAGTGTACACCTTTCTAGCGCTCTCTTACTGGCCAGCTCTGGGAGCGTGCTGACTCGGGGTGCTCCCCTGCTCGGTGTGACTTGGCCGGAGGTGCCTAATTCTCCTCCATCGGACAGGGAATACAGGCAACAAGCAGGTTTGTAGATTCCATCCATTAGAAGCCTAAATGTTAGATGTTGCAATGCTCGGTGTTGTGGGACCAACAGTCCTTCTTGAGCCTGGGCCTCTAGTATCCATCCATCCACAGGAAAGAATAGCATTGTCCTACTTCACATGTTGTAATGACTGGGACCTTATAAACGCCAAGTACTGAATTTCTACTGGTACATTTTCAGTCATACTAAGCACTCTTTACTAGAAGTGGCCTCCTGAATATCCTCCTGTGCAGGGGAATGTAATAGTCAGGAGAGAGCCAGGGTAAAGGCTTTAAAGCCGGTCTCCACTGGAAGGGTGAAGACAGGCAGGAAGCGGCCACTAGTTCTTTCTATAGTCGACTGCTGCTTCTTTCAAAGCAAACAGTGAAGCTACGGAGAGCCATTTTCTGAGCGCCTGGTTCGTGGAACACCATTCAGCTAAACGGACAGGCAAGACGTGTGTCTTGCCTTGTCCATTTGAAGGCATGTTATAAAAATGAAACATCCTGCCTGCCCCATGAGGACACAAAATACCTTATTGTACATAGAGCCCAAATTTGCTTGCTTGCAGCAGGCAGGGAGTTTCCCTGGAAACTTTCTTTCTCCCTGACAAATTTTAATTCTAATTCTTCCTTTGTGGTGAGAAGCAGGGTGGATGGATTTAAATGGCTAATTTTAATGACAATTTAAGTCAGCAAGCAAGAAACCTTGATTTGTTGTTTTCACATGTAGTTTTTAGCTTTTTTGATAAAGAAAGGCTAATTATCATTGGATGGTCTAATTGGTGCTCCTTCTTAGCTAACCAGGAGGCTTTAGTTCTATACCCAGTAATTTAAGCAATTATATAATGTAGCATACATTTATTCAGAATCCTTATTTTTACTTATGCAACAAAACGGTGAATGTCACTTTTTGTATTAGAATATGGCTAATGTTTCAAGCTCACTATTTATATTCAGACTATTTGGATGGAATTTGGATTTCAATGTAAAATGCACACTGCATTGTAAAGTGGTTAGTTGATTAATTGATAATTAAACACTGGTTAATCAACTGCTAATCAATAATTAACTGTTCTGGATACCTAACAAAATGCGAGTACATTAAAATATGCGTTGCAGTGAAAATTAACTTTCCTGAAACAGAGGAAGTATTTTCTTGAGTCAGTGAATTCAACCAGTTTTTTCTGGTCATCATCAGGCCCTTCAAGATCTTAACACTGCTTGATCCAGAGGTGGATCCAGAGGGGTACTGTGGTATAGCTGCACCCCACTTTTTGACCATGTGGCAGGAGCGGCAGCCCAGGACTTTTTTAAGTCCTGCAGAAAGTAAGAATTTCCCTTCTCTTCCCTTTCCTGCTCAGAGGCACATCCCCTCCCTGTCCTCTCCCCTCCTATTTCCTTCTTCCCTGATTGCTGCTGCGGCTGTCTCCACTGTCCCAGGCGCAAGGGTTACAACCAGGCTGTGTGGGGGCATGGGTCAGTGGCAGTGGCTAGGCAGATTCCTCCTTGCTTGCTCCCCCTAGGTGTTCTCCACCAGCCCAGGAGCAGGCCTGGGGAAGGGGAACCCACCCACAAGCTGCCACCCTCCTGGGTTGAGCTCAGCCCCCATGCAGCCTGACAGGAGAGGGATGGGAGCTCCACTAGGCCCCAGGACAGTGCAGACTGCGGGATACTGGCAGTGGCAGGGGAGTGGACGGGAGGAAAAATGATGGGGCATACCTCTGAGCACTGAGGGGAAGACTGGGGAAATGCTTACATTCTTCAGCACTTAAAAAGTCCCCAGCTGCTGCTTCTGGGGTGCAGTCTGCCTGCCCCAGTGCAGAGAGGAGGAGGTGTATAGTCATCCCTGCAGTGCTGGTCGCTGCCCTTGCATCCCCAGTTTACAAAATCCTGGATCTGCATCTGTCTAGAACTTATCCTCTTATGCCTTATTTTTCTTCCTGGAGTGGAAGAAGCAAGCAAACCTTCTTGGTTTTTTAACTCTTAATTTGTTTCTCACATTTGAATGAGTTGTTCATTGAACTGAACTAGTTGAATGAACTGAAATGAAGAAAATGCACTGGTAGAAGATGCTAAAATCTGGTTTAGCATGTTCATAAAGTCTGGTTCCTGGTGCTTAGCTGCTAACTTTAATCCGTTTGGTGCTTTAAATTCCATTATAACTTCAGCAGCAAATGTGTACTGCTTGAATAACTGTTTTATTTCATCTAAATGATTTCAACAGGTTATAATAAGATTTGGCCTTAATGTGGGTTATCATGTGAACTCTTCAGATAGAATTTCATTTGAAATATGCAGAGAAATTATTTTAATTTAAGGCATGCTATTTAAGCAAAACTGTTGGATTTTTTATTTGACAGGAGGCAGGGATTTTTATCCAGTTTGTTTGGAAGTAAGTAAATGTCTCATTCCCCAGCTGCATGAGCTGAATCGTGTACTCTTCCGCTCTGATTTCCAGACCATACTCCTTCATTTGCTGTTGTGCCTGGTCATTTTCTACACAGTTTATTACATGATTGGAAGCGTTTGTCATGGAGCATTCAGGTGAGGCTGCTGCTTTGGAACTAAGTTGATCTCACTTGAGCTCACCCCCTTGAGGTCACAAGGTCTAAACTGTTAGGGGCATGCACAATTATACGTTGCCTTTCTATGATAAAGCTGCTCCACAGTATGCTCGTGGGGCATGAGAGTCCTCCTTTCCCCTTCCCAAGTGGAGCAGGGCAATTCTGACTCAATTGTTCTTCCCAAACAGACCATTTATTTTTTAGTTTCAGGCTAATGTAGTGCTTGTGAAAAGCACCAGACTGCAGAGCCCTGGAGTTTGAAGATCCAGTTTGTTTAGCTACAGTAAAGGACTCACAGGGTTCATCTACACGAGATGCTACATTGCCATATGAATGAGCTATGGCAACATAGCTCATCACAATGGCAACCTAGCACTGGTGGGCATGAACCATGATGCTGTCACTACTGCGTGGTAGGGTTGAAAACAACCTGTGTGGCACCAAACTGCGCAGTACCAGCAGTTACTGCACAGTCATTTAGTACCAAGTACTAAATGACTATGTAGTAAAGACTGAGCAGCCAGGTGCACATGTAGACATGCCCACAGATCAGTTCTGGTCCCCAAGCCTCAAAAAGGATATAGAAGAACTTGAGAAGGTACAGAGGAGGGTAACAAGGATCATCAGTGGTATGGGGGGTCTTCCATGTGAGGAGAGGCTAAAGAAGCCAGGCCTATTCAGTTTAGAAAAGAGATGCTTGAAGGGGGACCTGATAAGGGTTCACAAAATACTAAATGGTGAAGAGAAAGTAAATAGGGATTTATTATTTACTCTCTCTCACAGTACAAGAACTAGGGGTCACAAAATGTAATGAGTAGGTAGTAAGTTTAAAACTAACACAAGGAAGTTCTTTTTCACACAGCATGTCATTAAAGTGTGAAACTCTGCCACCAGGTGTTGTGGAAGCTGACAGTTCAGCCAGATTCAATAAAGGAATTGGAGAAATTCTTGGAGGAAAGTGGCATCAATTGCTATTAAGTATGGGAGTTAGTTTTTCTGAATCAGAACTTCCTAGACCTTAAATGCTGGAGGCTGCAAGTACAAACAGCATGGGTGTCTGATGCCTCTTGAGTCGGGGGGGGGGTGGTACATGCCCCCCTGACACCAGTCAGCAACCAGGGGCGGGGGGGATGTCCCCCAGTGGCCAATCCCACTGATGGGGGGGGGGGGGGGGAAC